TTTGCTTCAGAACATGAAACTAAAATGATCTTCATCCAGCCTCTCCTTGACATGTTGAACCATCTCCATGTCTCCAGACTTTTCCTCTACATTCCACCATCAGATGTAGAAAGATGCTCCATCAGTAGGAAGATGTTTCGTTAATGTTGTGTTGCGTTCGGTTTCTCGTTGTGTGTCTATTAACCGTCTACCTACAGTAAAGTAATTCAGATTAAATCTTACATGATGCGTTCAAGGACCGTCAGAAAGCTGAGAACTCACCCAGCAGTTCTGCTTCTTTCTAGCTCTGGTCGTTTCCACCCTGCAGCAGGTTAATCAGTCATTAGAGTCTTTTTTCTTTCCTCTGAATGAGATCACGTCTCATCTGCGTGATCATAAGTCAGACAACAAACAGAGAGCTGAACGTCAACAGGAAGCAGCAGCGTTCAGCGCTAACAGGATTTCAGGTCGTCCTCCACATCGCTCATCTCTAATGGCTCTACTGGCCGTAATGCCACCAATCTGCAGAGTGACGAAGCGAACGTTTAGCGTCGCCGTGCAGCGAGGAGGAGGAGGAGGTTCCTGTCAGCGGAGGTCAAGGAGCTTCGATAGAGACACTCAGAGTCTCAGAAGGAAGCCGCTGTGCTCCTTCAGATTAAGACTTAATTCATTAATGAGCTCCGTCCCTCCCCCTCCTCAGCAGCACCGCAGAGCTCCATGAATATTTAAATCAAATGAGTCCACATGAACAACCAGAGCCGTCGCCGGCCTCCTGTCAGACACCAGACAAGACACAATGGGCCGCTTTGACTTTCTAAACCAGCAGAAATAAAGAAAAAAGAAGAAAGAAAATTAGTCGTTCTTCCATTTTACACCAACAATACAAGAAAACAACAGTAATGAGGTCCACTTCCTGTTTGAAACCAACAACGGGCTAATTTTTAACTTTTCTGTTTAAAAACATTTATACAGAACTAAAAACACACACTTTTAATTTTTCCATTTTAAACCAACAATGTACAATAAGAACATTGTTTTTTGTTTGTTTTTTTAAAATTAATTTTGAACCACTATCAAACAAACAAACAAACAAAAAGTAACTTTTTTGGCCTTTTTCATTTTAATCCAACGACAAACTGACTGATGAGGTTGTAAAACCAGAAAACTGTCTCATTTTTCTCATGTTAAACCAACCAATGGGCTCGTTTTCTGTTTAAAGACAAAAAGGACAAATGAGGAAACGGTCCGTCCTGGTTTTCTGTTCCTGTTTTAGACCTACAGCGTAAATGAGATGATGAGTTTAATCATAATTAACAAAAACAAAAAAAGAAAACAGGATTTAAAACTTTTCTGTTTTAAACCAAAAATTAAAAATCAGCCCTTTTATTTGTTTTAAATCAGCAGCGAGAAAACCAGGAAACACGTTTATTTTTCCATTTTAAACCAGAAAACACAGAAACCAGCCAGTTTTTATGTTTTACATTAAAAAGCAAGAAAACCTGAAAACAGGCCCAATTTTACATTTTTGTGCATTTTAAACCAACAATACGAGAAAACAATCGCTGTTGTAAACAAAAGCAAAATAAAATCCTTTTTCAATTTCAAGCAACTTTTCTGTTTTAAACCAACAACATATTTCAACATATTTTAAACGGCAGCAAAAATAATTTAAAGTGTACATTTTTTATTTATTTTTTAAAATTTATTTTATTTCAAACCAACAATGAAAATAATGACAATGGACCATTTTTCATTTCTCTGTTTCAAACAATGAAAAAACAAGAGAACGGATCAGTTTGGTTGTTCCTCCGTTTAAACCTTCAAAATAAAATAAGAAGACAGACAGCCTGTCATTTGAAAATGGGCACAATTTATTTTTTTCCATTTTAACCAACAATAAAACAGCTCACTTGTTATTGTCAACCAAAAGTAAAAAATAAACAAACAAACAAACCACAACAACAACAAAACAACACAAATAGGCTCATTTTTTTTTTCTTTTTCAATTTTAAACCAACAAAAAAACAGAAAAATTGCTCTTTTTTTTCCCCCCATTTCAAACAATTTTTCCGTTTTAAACCAGCGACGACAACAAACATTCCGGTTTTCATTTTTCTGTTTTACCCCGACAGCTAATTGCCTCCGCCGCCCTTCAGATTAAGACTTCACCTTCACGGAGCTCCGCCCCTCCTCCTTAACTCCGCCGTCGGATCCTCATGAATATTTAAATGAAACCAGTCCACACAAAATAACCAGAACCGGTGAGTTTACACGCCGCCGCCATGTGTTATTGGTGGCAGCGGTGCATGCTGGGACGTCTCCATCGGCTGTCGCTCATTCAGCCCCCCAGCGTCGCCCCTCATCGCCCCCCCGCCGCTCCACTCGCCTCATTTGTTTTGAAAGCCGAGCGGCAGGTAGCGGCCGGGCGTCAGGTGTGCGCTCCGCCGGGACGTGCTGCTGGCGGAGGACAATGGGAGCCGAGTGGGGGTCGTGTCCGGGGCCAGGTTGTGTAATTATGGGATGGCGGGGGGGGGGTGTCCATTAGCCAGCTGTCACTCCCTGCCCCCCGGCCCAGAGGCCTCTCAGCTGGCTGCCACGGCTGACTGATCGCCCACGACGCCTCCAGTCGCCTCTGCTGTTGGTTCCGGTACCCAGAGCTCAGGGGCTGGGTCCACCAGAACCACCAGAACCGACCCGCCAGTCATGCAATCAGTGTTTCTGGATCTACCCTCCGACACGTCCTCCAGCCTCCATCAGATGTTCTGATAAAAGCTCACGAAACATCAGCTGCACGTTCCAGTGACGTTGAGGAAACGTTTTAATCCTTCACTGTTTACTGCAGACAAACGACGCAAAACAAACAAAAACAAACAATGCAGAGAAAAGTGTAAACAGGAGAACTCCAAGTCAGTCCGGGTGTCTTCTGTCTCGTTGTCCTTCACTGTTGGCCTCAATGTTCACTGCAAAACAAACAAACAAACAACTTCCTGTTTTTGACGTTTCAGGCTGATTAATGTTGTTTTTCCAGTTTTTCAAATTAAGGGCAGCATGTGTTGTAATGCGTTAAACGTGTTAAACCAGCTGCTTAACGAACTCGACTCTGTTGAGAATCTGCTCTAATAAAACGGTTTCCATCGACCACTCTGAAGTGGCAGCTCCGCTTATTTTTAGACCGACGGGGGTTTTAAAGAGGATTTCGCTGTAATCCTTTGCTTCAAGTGAGAACAGGAGAAACCTGGAGGATGTCTTCCGTCTGTCGGGTCAGCGTTCACTCAGCGGCGACAAAAGCGGCGACACCCGAACGCACCGCCGCTCTTTGTGATGCGATTAGCGGGAAGATGTTTCCTGCAGCTCTCATCTGATCTCCGCTTTATCTGCGTGACCTCAGGACCAGAACAGAATCCGCTGTCTGTCCTGGTGAAAGGCCAAAAAGAACAAAAAGCACCGAGAGGCAAAGAAGCAGAGACTGAAAATATAAACTCTGATCTATTTTGAACCCCAAAAACTAGAGACTGAATTTGAAACAACATCAACAGCAAATAAAACAGAAAAGTATTTTTTCCTGTTTATGATTTGTTTATAGGAACAAACAAACAAAAACAAGAGAACTGGTCTATTTGTTGTTTTTCTATTTATCTCATCGATAAAAACAACAAAGGACGACGAAACAATCTGATTGATTGTTTTTTTCATTTACAGCCAACAGCAAAAAATGAACAAATAAA